GTACCCACGACCCACGACTTCGTACCCACGACCCACGACCCACGACCATTAGGCAAACTCTGTCAAATCTCTTTGTCAAATGCTCCATCATATCTGGTATTTGTATTTTATTTTCTGTTTGTTTATTTGTGCTTTTTATTACCTTTATTAGCATCTTCCGTCTTGTTTTTAACCGGCTATATTGTAGCAAAATTATTAAAATTATAATTTATTCTCACTTACATTTGACAATAATATCATATAAGCAAGCTCACTGACCTTTAGCGGCATAACCCGTTTAGCTCTAGCTATTTTTGGTAGCAATGCTACTTTTTGGTAATCTTTTTCCGCTTTTCTAGTATTAATAGAGTCAAGTAATAAAAAAACTTTATTAATTTTGCATTTATCTTAATTATTTTTTCAGTAAGTTGCAATACTAGTTCTGCACTTGGAATGGAAGATGGTACAATTCCTGACCAACAGCTTACAGCCTCAACCACTTATGATGGCAGGTACCTTCCAGCCTATGGGAGACTTAACTTTAAGGCAAACTATTCGTATAACGGTGGATCATGGGCATCCAAGACTCTTGATGTCAATCAGTGGTTTCAAGTCGATCTTGGCAGCCTTGCTAAGGTAACAGGGGTGGCAACCCAAGGGGGGGGGGGGGAGACAAATATGCTGAAATGACGACCCCACGATCTTTGAGAAATTCACTCAATCGTGGAGCTGTCCATTTTTCAATTTATCTCTTGCCAAGTTGTATTACGGTGAACTGATGTCAATCGACGCCACTACTGTAACAAAGTTATGCATATTTGCCCAATTGATGTCCCATAATGCCTTACGTTTTAGTAGTCCATTGGCTGTTTGTAGTGTTGTAATGAGGCTTTGTAAACATGGTTGTGACGTCAGAGCTTTGAATGCTTCTGCAAATTTGTTAAAATTTATTTCGACCGCTCTTTATGTTGTTAAAACTCTTATGAAACCAAATTTTTACTTCTTGTATTTTATTTTTAAATAATAAATTATAATAACATTCATGAGCTTTTAATTTTCATGGTGCAATATTTTTTTAAAATTAAGCTCGCGGTCGAACGAAAAATGTGACATCACTGTTGTTATGTCTTGAAAGGTTTTTAATGAACGCTCATGAAGAATAGGTTTTACAAGAACGACAAACTGTCCCTAAAAGTCCTCAAAGCAAACGTGTTGACGTCACAGATAAAGTCCCGTATGTGACAACCGGAAGTGGCTGTTCCTATGCAGGTTCTAGTCTAATATATAAAAACTGTGAGGACTCGTCGCTACATTTTAACAATAATACTGATAGACTAGTGACCTTAAAACCATAATTATATTTGAAAAAAATTTAAAAAGCTGTAAAAAAACCCTAACCTGTTGAAGTTCAGATCTGTTTTGATGTATACGCGAACGTCCGATTTCATTTGTGCATGCCTGGCTTTAACTCCACGATAAACTCGTTTTTGTCTCTACAAATAAATTCTCTCCACATTCGGTCAGGCATATTATTTTGTACTGTGGTCAATCTCGGAAACTGAGCGCGTCAGGTTTAGAACTGGATTGATTCCCGTTTGTCTTAAAGTAATGCCGTTTTCATACCACTTCCTAGACGAGCTTGTTCTCATGCACGAGATTCGTCTTCGTTTAACAAGTCTGAAGACGCTTTGAAAAAAAAACTTTCCGGTATCAGTGACAGTTTCCCAAGGTTAAATTTTTTTTTCGAAAAGTGAATTTCGAAAAAAAGTTACACCATGATGATCAGAAGCACCGGTGGCGTGCGCTGCTAATGCGCCGCCTCTCACCAATGCGGCCCGAGTTCGAGTCCTGCCGATCTCGTTGTCGTATGTGAGTAGAGTTGTTTGTTGGTTCCCTCCTGTGCTTCGAGGGTTTTCCGGGTTCTCCGGTTTTCATCCCTCCTCAAAAATCAACTTCTAAATTCTAATTCGATCTTTGGGCTTTCACCTAGTTTGGAGCCTAGCTTTGTTGTGGTTGTCTGAAGATGATGATAATTCATATGTGGACACTAATGAGGATACTGAAGATTTGGATAGCGACGAAGAAACTGACATTGTTACTCATGAAATAGGAATTACTGATAGTGAGGAAAACGATGACAGAGAAAGACGAAGTCGAAACAGTCAATGTTACAATAAGTGGTAAACGTGTGAAACCAAGAAAATTCTTTTGGGATTTAGATTTTTTTCTTGGGTGGGTCATCTGCAATTTTGCTTATAAACTGGGGTTGGGCCATCCCATTTTCAGCATCATTTTATGATGGGCCAAGACAAAAAATCACTGATTCTATTCTGGTTTTGCCCCCCACCCCCCTATACTTTATGACCAGTCCCTAAGAAAACTTAAAAACACGTGAGAATACCAAAAAAACAGCATCGATAATTGATGGAAAGTATTTAAAAACTGGTGTGCCGAGCAAAACGGAAAACTACGAGCCAGACGAGCGAGGGGAGACTTTAAAGCAGAAGCTAGCAAGAGCTAATGATAAGATAATGCGTAGGTTGTATGTTTGTGGCGACCTATATAAAATACAATTTCAAGGGAGATGTAAAAATTTACTCGTAAAGGGCAATATGGAATAGGAATACTAAATACACTATAAGTGCATTATTACAGGTAATTGGCAATCATTCCAGTAGCCACATGCGTGGTGTTGTGTACCCTAATATCATTCATGGGGTCTCGCCGAGTTCGATTCCTAGACTCTCTATAACATGTCAGTGGAGTTTGTTGGGTCTCTCTCTTGACACGAAAGTTTTTCTCCGGGTTTTTCCGTTTTCCTCCCTCCACAAACCTTGCTGGGTAAGGGATCAGTGCACTCTCTTTTGAGCAGCTCCGAGGTGGTGTTTAGTTTCCATAAAACTGATTCATTTTTATGCTTTAATTTTAATTAATTTAAATTATCGACGATAATGTGCAAGAAACATATATATTTCGTAGTTATCACCTACCAATTTCTCTGGCTACTTTTAAAAGTTCGAAACCCTTGATTAAAAAACAAACTCAAGTCTTGCTCAAAAAAATTTTTTTAAAAATATATATTTTTCTTTCCCTATAAAAAATTTAAGTACTCAAGAAACGTTGATGACCAGACAACCTGGACAAATACCTGTGATTATAGTCTGGGCTTTTGTTGTCAAGAGGTGTTGTACTTGGCTCTATGTATATTACTGCATACATTCACTTTCAGAAAAACCCGCCTTTTTGACACAGGTTGCACAAACTTCAACTTGTGATTGATGGCATGGTTTTCATTTGGGCAAGTATATAGAATCAAGTGGACAGATG